GCGGCCAACTTACTGCAAGCGCAACAGGATGAGGGGACAGACGGCGGTTGTGGTCTGACCCTTACGTATTCTGAGCACGACCGTTAGATCGCTTGAACGCATCGGGAAGCTGCGAGGTGCCATAATCTTGTATGAAGAGCGTGCCCTGTTAACGTTGTCGCGCGAAACCAGTCGTCGAAACACGCCAGTCGTTTGTTGCTTCCCATCGAGTTAGTTTGATGCACTGCGGTGAAACCCACAAGGTTGCTGAAACGGCAGTGTTCAGGTAAATCCGATAGTCTGTGTATGCTTGGGCCTAATTCACTTACCTATTAGAAACACAGGTATCACTTTGCCTCGAAATTTCTGGCATTGTCACACATGTAGACGGCGCGTAGTCGTGAGTACAACATGCGTACACCGCCAATTCTATTTTTAAATTCGAATGGCGCAGTCGGAGCAGGCGTTCTCCTTTTGGAGGAAGTCTGTTCCAATGCCAGAGTGAAGGTGGGAGTCAAGCGTTCTCGTGAGATGGTAGGAATGGATTCAGAGCGGTTGTTACTCCGCGGAGCAGGAAATGTTGGTCCGCCAAAATCAGTGCAGTGGACAGGAACTGACGTACTCCCTTTAACACGTTCGCCTGCTTTCGGGCGCCGTCGGTGTCGCGTGCTTTGACAGTAATGGCGAACAACGTGGGTGACTAGGAATCATGCGGCATTGCTTCCGATGCTCGACAGTGACTGCTTCCAGTCAGACAGCGACTCTGAAAACTACCGTGCACGACAGTGGGATGAGCGGAATGGATTAACTATAGACGCAAGGTATATTCTGGGCAACCCGAGCACTTTCGTTTCCTCCTTGCTCCCATGCTTGCTCCGCGGCTACTCCGATGTCGCAGATCGTGTCCAGTTGCTGATCTAGATGACGATAGTTATAGCGCGAAAACAAAACGACGACACAGAGACAAGAAGGACACGAAAGAGACGAGCGCTAACTTTTTTGGAAGTTAGTGCTCGTGTCTTTCGTGTCCTTCTAGTCTCTGTGTCGTCGTTTTGTTCTGGCGCTATAACTATCGTCATGCCATACCAACTAGCCCAATCTGCCACACTTCTAAGCTGATTTGGATGCGTTGCTATGCCAGAGCCGAGTGCTCGCTCGCCGAGTCCATTAGCTGTTCCGACTCTGCCATTGGAGTTGAACGTAAGGTAGATTCCTAGAGGAGGCATCGGTGCCACACTCACCGTGTACAGGTGGAAACAAGGTGTCGGGGATCCGTCGATCGATCGATTCTTTTTCGAACGTGCCCACGTGCGTGTGTTTTGTGTGTCGGCACTGGTTCGTGAGTGCGGCGCGTGGCACAGGCTGGAGCAGGAAACAGCCTCGCGCCGCGTAGTAGTACGCGCGACCTTGGCGAGGGTCTCCTCGTCTTCTCGGCACCGCTGTTGTCGGCAGGCCGGAAAAAGGGGAGCCCGATGGGCTCCGTTGCCGGTGTGCCGTAGTTGGCGGCCGTGCGTGCATACTGCAGTGTGCGTGCGTGTTCCGCGCCTGCCGCGTCTGCGGGCACGCCTGCAGGTCTTTTATGCACGGCCGCTGGATCGAAGCGCACAAGTGTCTCATGCAGCTGTGGTTGTATGCATGCACTGTTACTTACCAACATCGTGTGAAGGGGCTGGCACCAGTGTTTCATGAGTACGGCATGACTTGATTCAAGACAGCATTGGTAGCATATATATTTTTTAGCTAGGACGACTATAGGACTTCCGCCTGCAGTTCTTTATTGAATTTTACTAGTTGCAACCTCAGGGCGCATGAAGGCGGTGAAGGAGTGTGGATAGTATTAGCGAAAACGCACTGAAAAATAGAACGCTAAAATGCAAAAATTAGAATACTTGTTGAAACAATAGTTTATTTGAGGCGCAATATATAATCGGTTAGTGCAATGCTCAAAGCTGGCGAGTCCTCAATGCAGCTATGATGGAGGGGAGATGACGATTCTATTTTGTACATTTCATTGGAAGAAAAACATTTGAGGGCACCACTTCAGTGCGGCAGAGAGCAGGGATACGGAGTAAAAAAGTGGGCATTCGTAACTAAGAGGGAGCATATGTTGGAGAAAAACTCTGGAATGGTTTATTACATGGTGCATGAAAAACTCGCGGAACGTGATAGCTAGGGAAGTGTGTTATTATCAACAGATTATATTCGCATCTTTCACGGAAAGCTTTTTTGTTTTATATTTTGTTGAAACGCGTACGACTATTCTTGGCCATCTATAATTCGTGCGTTCATTCAGCCGACAGTGATGACAACGCGTAGTGTTTCATGGCGTAAAGGCGAGCGAGTACGAAAGAACGCCATTAAATTCTGCATTATGAGAGGAATCGAGGCTGTCGTTGATACTGCAGCCATCAGTCAGAGAGCATGCATAAATCAACAACTTTGGGAAGGGTATATTTTCTTGGATTATAAACATCCATATGTCGTGCACTTGTCATACGCACTCTCAAACGGCTGTTTGTCAGTCTCCCAGCGGATGCCCTTGAGGTGTTATTATTATTATTATTATTATTATTATTATTATTATTATTATTATTATTATTATTATTATTATTATTATTATTATTCATGTTACCCTACAGTCCCCAGAGGAGCATTGAGTAGGGGGGGTTACAGAAAAATCACAATACATAAAGCATAAAAACAAATATATCGAAGAAAACAAAGAAAATTGCACAATGGGAGGGAGAAGAACAAACACTATAAGCGAATGCAGCAAAATACAAAATGAAAAAAAAATAAAGCATCTTTATACAAAATCAAGAGAACATATAAATTTGCAGTAGCTCACGAAATTTGGCCGGATCTCTCAAAGAAACAATTTCATCCGGAAGGCTATTCCAAACTGCGATGGCGCGTGGCAATGCAGAATTATTGAATGACTGTGTGTTGCCGAAGATGCGTCTGAAACTGAGATGATTCATTGCACGTAGCGGTGCCATGAATGTTTGCTCCTCCTACTCAACGCCCAGTTATGCTGTTAGGTCGGACCGGAAGCTGAACTCGCCATGATGACGAATCGCGTTTATTGTATAGCGTGCCTCGTTCCGTGGAATTTCCGCTCGCAGCATCGCTCTCTGTTTTATTGCCGCGGTGCAGTGCATCGCCGCTCATTATATACATTTTTCTGATGGCAGTCGAGTCTAAACACAGACACCGCGAAAATTCTGGACGGCGCGCCTCGAAATTCATACCGCGCGGGGCTTACCGCTGAGAAAATGTTTCGAGTGCTCAGGTTTTCAAAAGCCCCTCGAGCATAAATCGCTTCGTTCAGATGTCGCGGCCGTGCTGGAATGGGTGTCCTTAAACGCTTATCCTTTTCTGGTTCTCATCGGTCACAAGTTCAAGCGCTTTTAAGTTTTATTCGGATTGAAGGTGTTTTTATGGCTTACTCGGCAAGTTTGCCAGAACGGTGGGCTCTTTGCTGATGCTGTATTCATGCTGTATTCATGCTGTACCCATGCTGTATTCATGACATGATGGTTCATTCATTAGGACCATTAAGCATTTAAGGTGTATTTTCGCTTAGCAAAAAACAAACTGGACGCTTGAGCTGGTTATCCTTTCTTTTTTTCCTTTGGTCGCCTTTCTCTCTACCTCTCTCTCTATATATATCTATTACTTTTATCTTAACACTAATTTAATATAGCGTTGATGTATACCGGGTCATTGATTAAGTGGTTGGTTATTTGGTTGATTGACGATTCTCAGCAACGTTGACTCTAAGAGGGAGCTTGTGAACTCCCACGCTGTGATGAAGTTGGCATCATGGGACCGCCAGACTTGGAATTACGGTCACTTATGACCACCATGGGGATAAAATGGTAAAGCGTCTGCGGAAGGTCTTGGTTCGATTCCTAGTGCCGCCGGGGACCCACCATTTTTGCTTGTTGGTAGAAGCGTACCGTATATTAAGCGCTCAATGGTTTGTGAGTACTTATATTCAAGAGTGTCCGTATACCTTACTCATCATCATCAACGCCTTCTCTCTCCTTTCTTTTACACCCCCTCCCTTTTACAACAGAGCAGGCCAGAAAATGGATTCAGGCAGATCTCTCGGCTTTTCTGCCACAATAAACATTTCTCTCTCTTTCTGTTCACGCTGTAGTGAAGAAGAGTGGCCTCAGTGGCAAATGCTCTGTGCCTCGGTGGCATCACCGTCGACCTGACCTCTTGGTTTCGGCGCTAGGGCGAACGCTGCAGATCGCTACATAGGAGGAGCGAAACTTCTGGTGGCCCGGAGGTGTGCTGCTACCTTATTTCTGGTTACCGTGGATCAGTATCAGTCTATCTGTATTGGAAGTGCCGACTATGTAGTTCATCGTTTTCATCTGTATGTATACTAGCTGTAGTAATCGCCATGATTGTTACACTAGCTCTGCTGCTTTTACCTCGCGAGAGTGCATTAAAAAATAACCTTTCTACGGTCGTAGCATACGTCATTTCATGTCAATAACACGTAGTAGTTATGCAAGATTATGGCTGCATGCAGAATGTTTGCACTGAGAATTGCTATGTACAAATATAAGCTGACACTTTTTGCAGTAGGACTTGTTTTTTTTCTTTAGCTGGGCCTCCCACTTTTTTTTTCGTAGGTGCTTGTGAAGTCATTGTATGTGGATTGTTGTTACCTCTATATACGATGTAGCTGATGGTGTCTGGTGTATTGCAGAGTGCATGTAGTTTACTGTATGTGCTGAGTGAGAAAGAGAGATAGAAAACAACTTGACTTTGAAAAAAAAAAGAAGTAAACAACCTTTATTTCTGGTTGAGAGGTATATTGTGTGTAGGGAAGTATAAGTATAATTATAAGGCTGAATCCTGCCTTGAGTCGGCGTGGTATGACGACCTCACCTCTTTTAAGCTAATAGAAGTGTGGTTGTGGTGGTTGTTAACGCCAATTCCTGCAACTCTCTGTGATATTTGTGTGCTTTGTGCCCTTTTGTCTCGGTCTGGCGGGGTAGATGACGTGCTGATGGTGTTGCCCGGCGTACACGTTCTGGGGCGGCGGCGCGAGTCGCTTGGTGCCCCGCCGCGGATTCCAGGATCGGAGTCCGAACAAAGTGCGTGTCAAAATCTCTATTTGCACGTCAGGCGAATAAAATATAAATATATATATTTATTTAGAAACTTCGTTTAAGCATTTTCCGACACCCTTACGCTAGAAGTTGAGTGCAGTGCACTCACTGAATGCCAAGTTGTGTTTGTGAAGTTGTGAATGCCAAGTTGAATAAGCATTTTGCGTATTCATTAAACTCGGCTCTTCGTAGCGCACGTCTGCCTGTCCCACCCGTAATCTTCCTAGTACTCTTTATCATTAGTGTATACCTGCATGCATATAGCCTCTTGGGAGACACTAATCCTGCCCCCCCCCCCCCCCCCCCTTCCTTTTCTCCTTTCCTCTGGCTGCGTAGGGGTGAAGGTGGCACTTCTGCACCATACCTCGCGGCCACTTTCGCATGGCCACTGTCTAAGAGATGGCTACACGAGAATATCACCTAACTTAAGGACACTTGAGGTTGAATTGTTAGTATCGTAGGAACGGAAACCTTGGCGTGCCTTCCTATAACGAACATGCTTTGACCTATAGGTTTCCGGATGTAAAAGCACGCCTCTGTTACGCGAGCATGTGCCGTGCTTACAAGGTGGGAGGTCAAGTTTGACGAGCCATGTATACGCGTGAATTACACTTCAAGAGAACGTATTGTACACCGCTCCTTTCCTTCACCCTCCGTAATTTTTTTTTTTTTTTGGAGTGGTGGAATGCCAAGTGGCTATGAAAGAGGAAAAGGAAAAGCGCTGTCCCGTTACTGCCTCTCTTAAACGAGGGCACCTCCACAGTTAAGCGCAGGGAAGGGGGAATGGGAACGAAAGAGTCAGAAGAGAAGATGTAAGAATAGAGTGGTGAAAAGGAGTGGTGGAATGCCTCTCTATGCGTGCTGTGGTCGCAAGGGAATCGTAGGACACAGCTTGTTATCATTCTCGCCTTGGCGACCGGCCCTGTCCCCCGTCCTCATCGGCGCGCAGGTTTATTTTAATATTTTCAAGACATTTGCAGATGTAAACTAGTGACCATCTCGCCGCCTTTAGTTTTTTTCTCTTTCTTTGCAGTGGTTTATGCGCTGCTCGAGTCTAAAAATTAATTCTTAAGTATCTATCAGTAGCCACGCAAAAGCAGCAAGGCTGTGAATTCTTCGTTAGCAATAAATGCATTGTGTAATCGCCGCTTTATACGATTGCCAAACCTAACCTTGTGGTGGACGCGAAAAAAATTATAACACTTATTATTATGATCGCTACTGTTTGCGTCAGCACTTGGATTTTACGTTCGCTCCAACGCACGTTAAGCAAGTTGCTCGTTGATTATTAATTATTTAGGCGAAAGTCTGATAGGCGTCATCAAACGCGACAATTCCGCGTCGTAATAATTATATGACATCAGCATGAGCGATGCAGGAAATCACCACGGCCTGGCCAAACCATACGATGTCGTCACGAAGACGCAGGTTGCCGAAATTTGTGACGTGGCATCGTTTCTTTGGTTGCTTTCTTGGAGGCTGCAGTGTTTGTTCGAGTCTCTATAGTTCCCGTACATCAGGCGTAACCTTTACTGAATAACGTAGCAAATGAAGGCCGATTTTCGTCGTATTAATGATCACTGCCGAGGCAGCAGTGCCACACCGCTTCAGCGGTCATGGTCGCGCTGGCGAGGTTTTTACACGAGCAGTAGTTATCGCAAGGTACGCGGTGCCTACCAATGTTTTTTGTGCTCCCATGTGTGTATTCAGCCGTAACGCTGGGACCGCACGGCAGGTGCCTGCGGCGTTTGTTGACGTGCGACACGGCTGCTCTGGGAATCGTCTAGCGGGAAACTATTTCGGGATGCGTTAGAAGAAAAATAATTCAGCTATAGGCCAGCTGGTTGTTCCGGAGTATGTACCATGTGTCAGTTTGCGTTCCCGTTGCTTTCGCAACTCGCGCCAACAGCGACGACGACGACAGTGACAGCGTTCATATGCTTATTAATGTTTTAGCATTTCGCGCGATGTTTTAAGCAGCAGTTTCAGAAAAGCGGGAAGTTCGGTCGTTTTGGATCACAGCTCCGCCACCAACTGCCAAATCTTGAAAGAGAAGTGGGAGTCACCATGTGTAGTTATTGTTCGACATTGGTGACTCCCTACCAACTAGTTTTACGCCCGCGGCGAGACCTTCAGTTCCTCCATGGTGCCTCAAACAGCCAGTCATCTACCTGACAATACCAGGCATCCAGAAAAAACGTGATTTCTCAATACCAGCCATCAAGCAGCTCGCCTTACTTCTGCTGTACGAAAAGTACCAAGACTGCACCCACGTCTACACCGACGGCTCCGTCCTGTCAAACAGCTCAACAGCGGCGGTCGTTATTCCAACGCACGCCACAACCATCAAATTCAGGACAGCTCATGCAACCACAACAACGGCAGCAGAGCTTGCAGCGCTTCACGCTGCGCTGCGTTTCATAAACGACCAAAGCACGCAATGGTGGACGATTTTCTGCGACTGCGAGGCGGCACTGCAGTCACTTCTGTCAAATCTACGCCGTGGTCCACACGAGCAGTTGGTATTTGAAACAGTAGAAATGCTACACCATATAACAGAAAAAGGGCACCACGTTATATTTCAGTGGTTGCCAAGCCACTGTGGAATTATCGGTAACGAACGAGCTGATCAAGCTGCCCGTTCAGCCCATACAGAAGACAACGACCAGTCAATACCTCTCGATCAAGGACGGACGCTGCTAGGAGGCTCCGCATGCTTGCTTGCCAACGCTCCATGGCTTTTTGGAATGAGCCTCTCTTTACGCATGCAAGATTACGATCCCTTGATCCAACGTTAAGCATGCAGCTTCCAACAAAAATTCGACGAGGCGACGCTACTGCTCTGTGCAGACTATGGTTGGGAGTCGCGTTTACCCGTGCGTACGCGTTCCGCATAAGTATGGCCGACACCGCCGACTGTGCACACTGCGGAGATGAAGAAACAATTTGACATATCCTGTGTGACTGCCCGAAAAACAACCTGGAAAGACAATACCTTTCTAATAAACTAAACAGGTTAGATGACCAGCCGCTGTCAGAAGAAAGTATACTGCGCCATCGTCATGACTCATCGTCGCAGAAAGAAAGCCGTGCAAGCGCTACTGGGCTTCTTACGAACTACTGGCCTGTCGGAACGCCTCTGAGTGGACTGATTTTGTGTGTGCGTGTGTGTCGGTGTTTTTCTCTTATTTATTTTTTTAACTCTCCCTTTCTCTTTCAACCCCCTGTTCTCCAACCCCAGTGTAGGGTAGCATACCGGATACTATAGCATCTGGTTCACCTACCTGCCTTCCTTTTTTCTCGTTTCCCTCTCTCTTGAAAGAGAAGACGGCCTATAGAGGATTTCCCATTTTTTGCCAGAACTTGAATTCCGAAGAAAATTCAGGAAGACGTACATGCTCGAGGCACTGCCACCATTGATATCTGGAGTGCATGAGAAATCGATGGACGTGCTTACAGCTACAAATGTAGCCTATATTTGCCCTGTGAAGTAAAAGAAGCACTTTACTGCATCGCATACGCATCGTAACGACTGACTTTTCGTCTCTAGGAGGAGACTAACTACAAGGAGGCATTATTTAGTGAAGCTTTGGGTTTGTTGGTTTCGAGAAGGAGAAAATGTTTTTTTTTTTCCACACGGGTATGCCGTGGTAAATTAAAAACACGGGCAAGTGAAGCTTTGTTTTCCAGACATTATTTTCCAGACAAGAAATATTCTGGATTTTTCGTTTATTCTTGGCAATTGAGGAAACGTTGATTTCTTGTCATTTTTACCCCGTGCTGCTAAACTCAATGGTGCGAATTCGATTCTCGGTGACGGCGGCCGTAGCCGAATTTTGAAAGGGAGTGGGTGAAATGCAAAAAAAAAAAAAAAGCAGTGTGTTTAGATTTACGGCCACGACAAGGAACTCCATGGAGGTGGTCGAAGTTTCTCCGAAATCCCTCACTCTACGGCGTGGTTTTCTCGCGTAAGACGCCATGTTATTGTAATCTCATTATTTTCCCACTGGCTAAAGACGTGCAGGTTTCGCAGTCTTTTTGTTCTACTTAACATTTTCAGAAATTTACGGACAACCCGTGGATATTGAAGCACGCGTTGGTTTTCCACAATTAATAACGCTGCGGTTACCTGCTAAAATTTGTCGTTTCGTGCAGACTAAATTTTATTTTACCTATATCAGCACTATATAGACGACTTTATTTTCGACAGAAGGACCCCGCATTATTGGACGGTCAAACGAATGTTTTTCTACACTATTTGTATGCTATTAACGAGCTCGAGAAACGTTGAATGCTTCTGTACGCAACCGCGTTTTCATGCGTATGCTTTCTATAGCACCGTTTGTTTGTTGTTGTTAACAATACTAAACGACAAAGTTAACGAAGTAACATGCATGGTGGCACCGAAGCCCATCCCTGAAATGATCTAATATATGTGGACTCGTGGCCGAAAGGGATATATGGGACCGTGGCTTGGCCGGTTCGTATACGTTATTTCCCCACAAACACCCGGCTAAGCGGCTATATACACAGACAGGAAGCGACGGTTTGCACTTCTTTCCGCCACGCGTTGGTCTGGGCCTATATACCGCTGATTGTTTTTATCTACTGGGCAGTCGTCCGTGCTAAGCCTTTTTCCACAGGAACTGGGGCTCTATAGTGATGTATGCATGCGTGCTCGCGCCCCACGAGTTCTATATAGACGAATGGGAAGCGCCTCGCTGCAGCGCTGTGGCGACGTCTGCTGCACGCCCCGAAACGATAAATGGATTACGCCAGCATTGCAACGTTCCTTCCCGCTGGCGCAGCGCTTTATTAGGTCTCGTTGCGGCCTTTTCTGTTTTTCTCTGTATCGCTGCGGTGTAAACGCTGACCTTGATAGTGCTGCCCCCCCGAAGAGAAAGCGCGGCTTCCTCTTGTTTCTGCTGCTGCGATGCACGGCGCTCATGCAGCGGTATATGCAAGTAGTCGCTCACGTCACATGA